CTAGCTATGTTCGATTATTTATCACGTCGCCCAACATTTGAAGCTCCCCAACCGTCAAATTTTGATGAACGGTTCTTTGTGAAATCGATTCAAATTTTTTTCCGCTTGCTCAACAATCAAACATTTTTACAAAAAAGAGTGTGAATATGTACCTAGTTCAGTTTTTAAACAGGATGTATCAAAAATCATCCCTGAATGAACACTATCTTGTACATAGATTGGTCTTTTCAGTCCAAGAAATCCAACAATTGTATAAATCCACAAGATAGAGAGACAGGGTTCAGGCCAGTAAATTTAATCTTTCAGAAAGGAAGGCCAATTTCAGATTCACACCGCGAGAAGGCTCCACTAATTTTTGCAAAAACATCAACCAATCACAGCTCAGCAAACTTTATTATGGATGCACAAAGCGAGTAGGCGCAATTCATTTATGCACAGAATCGAGCCAATCACAATCGAGTAAACGGTATTATGGATGCTCACTGCGAGAAGGCGCAGTTAATTTATGCACGAACGAGAACCAATAGGATCCGAGATATCATACTCACTGATCTGGTAGATTTTCTGAGCATTCTCGCATATCCTGTAACAAAACCCAGTCTTCTCCTGTATCTATCTGTAAAGTATAAAATTCATCTGTGCCATATCGTCAATATTATTCAGTCACCAGCGGAGTATCAACTTGTAAAAAATCCTTCAATTTTGGGAATGGAAGGCTATGGAAGAGCCCATAATGGATGGAAGCTTCAGAAGATTATCAGACGAATTCGCGCCTCTCAACAGAATTCCGCTTGGTCGTTTAAGACCGATCCGCAGACAGAAGGCGAAGAGATCCAGAAGATTGTCATAAGCAGGAGACATCCGACGAACCAAATACGCCAACATAAATGCAAACTTCCGGGAACTGAGAATGATCAAACCGAGTCGAGCGACAAAACAAAGGAATCGAGTTTCCGTTGGGCAAAGAATAATCGTCAAAGACGAAAAATCACTACCGGGTCTGATAGGTATTCTAGATGCAGACATCGTCAGCGAGCTGATATACGAAAATGCAACGCTCAGACTGATGAAAATGGCAATAAGAAACAGGGACTACGAAGGCTTCGCCAAGATAGACCCCTACATCAAGACCTTCTGGGAATCAGCAGCGGTGGTGGACGGCTGCTTGGTCATCAATGACAGAAACGCGATACCTATATGTCTCCAGAGGGCAGAATTCTCACGCTTGAACCGTTGGAACTCAGCGATGGAGGACACGGCCCAGTATTTGTGGTGGCCGAGGATCCACAGAGACATTGTCATTTTTAGCAAGAATTGCAGAGAATGCACAAAATTCGGTAAGAAGTTAAAACCAATGAATCCTTTTAAAAAGTACAAGTTTCTTTCTCTACTAAATGCTCCCAATGAGGAACCTCAGTTAGACTACGAGGGCCAATTATTATATGGTGTAGGTAGTCAAGTGTATATCCTTGTAGCTATCGACCGTCATCCTAAATATCCGTCAGCAATGCTCACAAAAACGCCTAGAGCCAACAAAATTATAAAACTCTTGGAGAACTGTATTTTTACGCATAGTATTTTTAAGACATTCAGAACGGACCAATGTTTTAAAATTAGGTCGTGGATCATTTTTGCAAATCAAAAGGCATCAGACACATATTCTGCTCGGTCGGAGATCACCGCGGCTGTGGATTGGTAGAGCGTAAAATTCAAACGATTAAAAGGAAATTGGGAACGTTGCAATTAGAAGACAATCCACCAGATTTTCAATTGGCTCTAAACCTGATAGTTGAAAATATTCGGATAACAGTTACAGGACTATCCCCGTTTGAACTACATTTTGGCAAGAAAAGAATTTTTAAATGCTCGCTAGCGACAATTTAAAATCTAAATTCATTTTAGACGAGCAAAACTTGGAAAACGATCTCCTGACGGCGGAGAACAGAAAAGAGTTGTGCGACAGCAGGCCCCGCATCAAAGTAGTGACGAAGGGCTACCAAAGCCGAGATGTTTCTCCTAAATTCAAACAGGAGACTACTACAGATCCCTGCTACACACGCTACTACAGATCCCTGGAACAGCTAGCCATATCAGCGATTTGGAAAAAGAAGCTGACCCATGAAGAAGGTTGCCGAGCTCTCCGCACTCTATCAGAGAGAAATCAACCTCTAGCGGCTTCTCTCAGAAACATTTTAACAACCGGAACTCTGAGCTTTAGACAGGACGCAATGGATTCACCGATATTCAATGCCAAATGTAAACTAAAGTCATTGCTCTTCTCTAATCCAAATTCATTTGAAGTATTCAGGAAACTCGCAAATCGCAAGTCTGGGAAACAACTATTTAAACGTTACTGGGATAAAATTGTTAAAATTACTCTTTCAACTTATATTATGGATTCGGGAAAACTTTTTAGTAAAAGTGATATTTCATTAAGGCTGAACAATTCACAAGTTTCAGGTCGGCAAGGTCGCAGCAAGCCAGTAAGCTAAAGAAAAATGAAAAGACAAAGAAGTTTCTCATCATCTTTCTCTCGGACGCACTGTTGGTTCCCGAGGCTCAAGTGCACCCGCGACAATTGTCAGCCTCAACAAAACTGGCAGTACCGGCGGTTCCACTCCTGAGGAAATTTCGGTCAATTGCACCCAGCCTAAACATAATCCAGACTTCGAGACCACCATTCCGATAGTTGACCTAACAAGATTGTCGTCAAGTTCTGGAGGCGTCATCCACCCTCCAGTGGCGAGCTCCTCACCTGTCGACCAAACATCAGTTCCTAAAGCAGTCCCAATTTCAATCCGGACCGATAACAAGAGGTTCGATAGGCTCAGGAGAGTTACCATACAACCTGGTGCAGAGGTGGTTTCAGAAGCAGTTGGAATAATGCCGGTATACTCGGAAGAAGACCAGGTGGCCGAATCTAACGTTACGCCGCAGTCCTGCCCACTAACTGTTAAAAAATCAACTCCAGAAATCAGCGCTAACAAGTCGGCAGATACCCCCACAGAAGTTCACACCAGTTACTACGGCAGGGCAAGATGGGAACGAGTCATCGTCCTGGCGAACTTCAGTTCGCAGTAAGAAGCAGACACAGATTTATGGCAGTCCCAAACGTCATGCGGTAAAAGAGGTTTCAGAAGCGTCAGTGCAAAGTTTTTCCGGTGGGAAAACGATCCCAGTGTCGGCAGCGGAATTGTCATCGTCCCTTTCTCTAAGAAGGAAAATGAAAGTGTTCAAAAAGAGCAAAGTATAGACTGAAAAGGTGGAGAGCTCGCTAAAACTAAAACTTTCAAAACTCCTATTTAAAATGTTTTTCAACTTATAATTTTAGTTGATTAGATATTTTTTTTGAAAGGAAGAGTGGTACGGCAAGAGGGCCGCCCCTTATGAAATTGTCTTTGTGTTATTGTGTTGTTGCTAAAGGTCAAAGTGTTAGAGTGAGTGAACATGGTGTTGTTGTTTGATATCAAGGTCGGTACCAGACGACCGTGTAAGTGACTTGATGTGGTATGAAAGAATCACTCTCTTGTTTTCTGGCGAAAGATACAGAATAATTCATTGTTAAAATTATTTCAATTTATTTTATTATACAACTTGTTTTACCAACTAAGAATCTGTCGGTTGACATCCCACAGACTAAAATATATAATAATGGATACTAATGAATTTTTATTTCTTTATTAATTTACATTAGTTTCAGCCCTTAATTTAGCGTTTATTTTATATAAATGATTGGTAGAATGATTGGTAGAAAAAATTGAAGTGGTGGGAACTGGGAAAGTGGATGGGGCTGAGGTTGGTTAACTAGGGGTACTTTTTTTTCGTTATAACAATAAAAGACATGGCATATTTGATATAAAATGCGTATTATTCTAGTGTAGTTCTAAAAAATTGGATTATTAGCAATTGATTTATAATGGGTTTTTGTTTCGTAAAAAAAATCGGTTAATGGGATATCCTGTTCACTTGTTAAAAATTGTGAAAATTGTGCGGTTTTTATTTGGATGGTCATTTTGAACATTGGTCAAAAGTTGTACAACTGTACAAGTAAATGCCAATTTTTAGTTAGAAATTCATATTGCACATTTGTCAATAATCTGTCAAAAATCTGCGAATTTTAATTTGGAAGTTCAAGCTGTGTATCTGTCAAAAAAGTACAACTTAAACATATTAATGTCAATTTTCACTTGGAAGTTCTTGTTGTAAATTTGTCAAAAATTGTGCAAAATTTTATTTGGAAGCTCATGTTCTGACATTTGTCAAAAATTTGTACAAATTGCGCAAAAATTGATTCGTCTCGATTAATCAATTTTCAAATTTGCAGGCCAAATCAACTCACTTTATTACAATGAAAAAAATTTTTTTTGAAATTTAGAAGCATGTGTGGATGAATCCAGGCAGGGGCGGATCTAGGATTTTTTCGAGGGGGGCGGATTTTCAAAAAATTTTGACGACTTTTTTCTAAGGTCAACCAAATTGATTTTTCGAGCTCTCCTTAAGCAGTAAAAAGGTTCTCTTTTGGCCAATATTTCTGCGCCGCCGCCCCCCTAAATCCGCCCCTGAATCCAGGTATGTTTTTTGTTTTTACTATCCTAAAACTTAAGCCGAAGATAAGATAGAACTCACGCTGCTTACTGATTTCAGGTTTGACAACGTTGTGTCAACTCGGAGCGTCAAGTGTGGCACTCGTATCTCAAGTCTTTGAAGAGCCCCCTTGTTCATTAATGCATTAATTAACAGGCTCCACTCAATTGAATTACATAAACTGATCAGAGAGACAATATGATTTCTGAGGTGGTTGTCGGTGTAGTTTACTACGATTTACATCATACACCAGAGAGGTCTTTGGATTAACTAGACCATTAAGAGTATAAAAAGTTCAGACCAAAGTTAGAAGTTTTTCTCTGAGGTTTGATTTACAGGTTAAACTTGGATCTGGATTCTCCTCCTGGTCAGAGTATACTTGAAGTACTTTAGGCAAATAGCAATTGTCCTCCCTTGGTGTATAACTTAAATCCAGAGTAAACCGAATTTTGGGCACAAACGGTGACTTTGAGCTTTGAAACAGAACCTAAACTTCCGAAAAGATATAAAAAGAACAATAAACATTTTCATGCTTGGTTGACAATTTTATTATTGTTATACTAACCGATATTCGAACTATTGAAAATTCTTCAGAAAAAACTAATGATTGCGCTGCTATATTCTGCCTCCTTGATTCATTTATAATTCTATTATTTGATGAAAATCTCGGCTAGAACTCGAAACCTCCCTGTTAATCAATAGTATTTTTTTTTAGTCTCTGGACAAATTTTCCCCTCATATTTTGTTCACATAGCTGATGCCTTGTTAGATTTTTGAATTCTTTATCATTTTTATTGGATTTTTTTTAACCAGCAGAGGACCAATTTCATTGGAGGAAAATCTTTTTCCAACTTGCATTGCTTTCACTTTTTTCAACCAGTTCAAATGCTACTTTTTATTTTTTAAAAGGGATCATTCCACAGGAAAATATCCAATTGGTGGTCAGGCCACGAGTTGATTTTGAACGATCAAGACTATTTTCTTTAAGCAATTAACTTTTACTTTTATCAGAAACTTTCAAGTGATAAGGTGAACTCTCTTACTTGCTTGAGTTTTACAGTTTGCCTCAAACCGAAAAAATTAATCTTTTTATTTAAATAATCGGCAAATTGACATCGAAAAAAATTTTAACAGTTCTCAAAAGATTCTCCAAAAAAATGGCTCGAAATATTCTTTGCGCGTTTATTGCTCTCAATTTTTTCGTTTCGGGTAAAAATGTCCCGGAAACGAAAAGCGACTCAGCCAAAAAAGATTCAGCCGCGGACCCTGACAAAAAGGGGGGAGATAGTGACAGTGCTTCAGGGGTGATCATAATGCCATCTGGTTACGAGTGTCGATCTCCGGACCCGAGCTGGTGTCATCTTCTGGAGAAACACGATCTCAACAAAAAATATGCTAAGACTAGGTTAGCGACTTTTTTATATAAGCAAACATTTGTAGACAACCAGGTCAAATTTTAAATTGAAACTGAATTTTTCTGATAGTCTTTTTTTAAAAACTGAACGATCGGCTAAAACTTAAGTTGAATATGTGGGTTTTCGATGAGTTTCCATAACAGATACATGTCATTATTTCTTAGAGGAGGTTTGAAAAATTGGCGATATTTTTGACGGACAAGAGGTATATATATTAACTGTGATCCGAAAAATATAAGGCTTTCAAATTTGCAAAGAACGGTTCCACGGCAACATATTCTTCATCAAGGGCGGATCTAGGATTTTCTCGGGGGGGGGGGGGGGGGGGGGGCAGATTTTTTTTAAAATGGAAAATTCTGTAGAACCTTTTTTAGGTCGACTAAATTGATTTTTTGAGCTCTCCCAAGTCACTATATAGACCTTATTTAACCAAATTTTCTGCGCCTCAGGCAAAATTTTTGAAACAGCAGGCCGAATACGGCGTTTTTAGACAATTTTTGGAAAATGTCGACCAAAAAAAATCACGGAAACATTGGGGTCGGCAGGGGGTAGAATTCCTGAGGGGAAGGCGTCCGCCCCTTCTAAATCGGCTAGTGCCAGAAAATGTAATTCGAAAAAATTAGAAAAAAAATTTTATGTTATTTTTTCTAAAACTCAAAAATTTATATGAGAGTAAATTTTATCCATAGTCATGCAGAAATTTTATTTAGCGGTTCAGCGGTTCATGATAGTTATCATGCAAGTTTTGCGAGAATCTTACAAGACAAGCTCTGGCAAAATCTTGTAAAACAACCATCATCTTTCGACTAATGGAGTCCCCCTAGATAAAGTTGTATTATTGTATTGTTTTAACAGGAAAATTATAAAATCCCCATAGCTGGCACGTATCAATTGATACAAATATTAATTTTGTCAACAAATGCTATTTTCCTAAACGACAATATTTTAGGTACAAAATAGACAATGTTTGATCTCAAAAAAATATGACTGCTCCGATAACGAAAATACCTTGAGTATTACAACTGACTTTAAATTGATTTTAGGAAGTTATTGAACAAAAAAAAATAAGTAAAAAAAATAATTTCTTTAAAAAACTTGATAAAAATATGCAGCTAAAAACTCATAGATTTTCATAAAATTTGGAATATGATTTGAGAATTCCAAAGATGAATTAAAATCAAGTTTTTTGGATATTTTGTTAGAATAATTTTCAAAGTAAGACATTTTGAGTCAGAGTCAAACTTTCGAGCAAGCATTTTGTGTTTTGAAGTTTTCCGTCAAAGATTAATTTACGTTAAATTGCACCTTCGTCCGGGTCACATGTTTAAATAGGCACCAATTTGAGAAATACTTTAACTAGACAGTAAGAAATAAACTGCGGTGTGACATTTGGGCGGGATGTCTTATGGCTGAAAAGACGGTGTGACGTTAGGGCGGGACTTCTAATGGATACAAGAACGAAGTTATCGTTTAAATGGGTAATACAGCAGACAAAACACCCTAAAAAGCCTGGAACTATCCCTTGACGGATAAACTACCACATTTCAAATTTATGCCGAACTTACTTCCGCATTCGCGCTTAAAAAATTAGATTAGAGAGTTTGGTTTATTATGTTTTGAGGGTACAGACGGAAGGGGATTACAGGTGACCACTGAATTTCGACTCCAGTTTGAAAGAACCAATTTCTGGAGATCTCTTGGTTCAATAGAGCTCCTAGAAAAAGACTAAGGCTGATTTGTTAAGTTACTGCTAGTTAAATCGAATATTTTAGCCCGGAATTGATTGACTTATTAGTCGTTGAAGCGCATTTTTTGCTCTGAAGCCCAATGTAACTTTTTAAAGATGGACTAGGGCTAAAAACGGTTTAATATATTGATTTTAGGAGTGAAGGTGGATTGATTGACACATGGTCTCTAATTTTACATGAACACTTCCAATAATTTCAATTTCAACCAAATAGATTGACTGTGTTTGAAATTTTGAGAGAACATGTCAAAAAAGGTGTCTCTAAGAGTTTTTAGAGTGGAAAATAAACAGCATACTTTCGGGCAAATACTACTTGCTCCAGCACATATGTAGCTTTTTCACCATTTGAAACAAAAAACTGGATCTAAATGAACAATTAAGGAACAACAAAACTGCTCGATCAGATCAAGCCCTTAATATTCCCATATCGAGACTAAAAAAAGGCAGTCGGAGCATTCAAGGCTTTGCCCTGATACGAGCAGTCTTGTTTTAATTTAAACCAAGTTCAACTTTTTTGTTTTAAACGCATTTGACGGAACAAATCTTTTTGAATTTCACTTTAGGCGTGGGTGAACATTTTCAAAAAATGGAAAAACAGTTCAATAATTCATAGCCTAATTTTTACTCACTAAAACGTTAAAAACAGGCCATTGCTTGTACTCTTGTGAAAAAGTATATGCTATAAACACAAAATTGAAAGCAACATGACCAAAAACGAAAAAAATTGTCTCTCATTTCTGCTGTGAAATATACAGTTTTGTAGCGTATCTTGATTTTTGGAAGTTTTTGGTCTCTCTGCACTTATTGTTTTTTCGTACTTCACTTGATGGGCTCACAAGTGAAGTAGGGCCCGATTTGTTCTTCTTTATCAATTATATGAGGAGCCCGCTGAATTGTGAAGCCTGGCAGTATTGAAATTCTGTAATATTTGCTCAATGCTAACAGGAAAATTTGATGGACACAATTGAGTCTGCGCATTTTCAAAAAATTTTCCAATGAAAATTTTTCGACAAAATTGTTGGTCTGCTGAAATTAAAGTTTGTTAGATTTAGTTAGATTTATTTTTGAGACAAATTAGTGTGATTATGCTGAGTTAGATAGTCTGCTGATAGTTTTTCAGCGTTTTTTGTACCTCATTCTTGGAGACCGACAAGGGCGAATAATTGGTGTCGCGTATAAACATGGTGAGATCTTTGGTTGAAGGTGTGTGGAAAATTCATAGCGCTGAGGCCTCAATTAGTAAAGCACCGAATACAATACCTGTAATTCAATGCAAATCCCACGGTATAGTTTCCTAAACGAACTCGAATCTATCTATTTTTTGGTTGTAACGACCATCTGCGTGATTGAAATTTTGTTTCGACTATTTTGTTCCGACTATTTGAAAACCGGGAGGAACTTTATACTTGGGTGTGTTATAGTTTTTTTTGTTCTTTTTTGTTTTCCGCGCGAAAAGACTCGAAAATACCTAAAATATACTTTTACGTCAGATCCTCATATCGCACTACTCGGAAAAAACTACTCTAAGTTGAAGAAAAAGGTTTTTTTTCTTGTAGTTTTTTAAATACTATGGTTGGAAGATTGTGTGCTTCTTGCACAGTAACCGGTTATCCTTATTTCCTTATTTCCTTTTGTATACACACACACACACACCCACACACACACACATATTTATATAATATAAATCAAACTGTTTGAACATTGCAAGCTCGAATCGAAATCTTTAGAAAGGTTATTTGCAAAAAACGTTAAAGAGTTTTTTAATCTGTAAATCATCATCCAGCACCAGAGGCCATGCTACAATCAAACCATCTTAGTCAATTCGGTTTTTTTAATCAAATAAAAATGATCAAAATGATGTCTTGAACATTTAAAAAACTTTTCTTTCCTGTTTTTTTTTGAAATTTTCTGATTAAAAAACAGTAATTGGAAAAGTGAGACTGGTAGAGTGTTTTTCAAACTGTTCCTTCCTGAGATGTGAAGAACCACCCTCCCCCGCTTCATGACATTTTAAACGGGAAATAAATTGAAAAGTCTTCTTTCTTAGTGGAAATGCTTTTTATCTTTTCGCAATGATACATGGATTTGAAAACGTTTTGGGCGACTTGCACATTTTGCACGATTGAAAAATGCAAACCACTCATATCATTTCAAATTCAAGCGAGTTTAGCTTCCTGATCAATCAAAGTTTTTTCTATCAAAATTATTGTAAAGCTGAGCTTTAAATACCTCATCAATTTTTTACAGGTGAAAATTGATATCAGTTAATCAGAAAAATAAAATAAAAGTGACTTTGATTATTTTATTAAGCTATCACTTTTATAGTTTGATATTAACTTATCAAACAATGAAGTGAAATTTAATATCTGTTTATAATTCTGACGATTATAGTTCGATATTACTTTATCAAAAAAAAATGAAAAACGTTGAATCATGTTTAAATATAAAAAAAATTTAATTGTTTTCCCAAACTTTGATGCAGAAAATACTAAAAACTGTTTATAAAAATATGAAATCATCTTCAAATTTAAAAAAACTATTTAATTTTTTTTCGTGTTTTTCCGCCTATATTTTAATGTACCTTGGTGTGAAATATAGTTGCAGTCAAATTTCCAAAAATGATAGTTTTGGCCAAAAATTCTGTTCGAGATGCATATCAACCAGTGGTTGTTGTTGTTATTTGAACCTGCTCTACCACTGGGAACTATAAAAATACAAATAACGAAGAGTGGTCCCAAAGCATAGCTTTAATTGCGTGTCGTCTGCGCAATTAATACGCGTGTCGTCTGCGCAATTAAAATCAAATCCTGGCGTCGACAGGGTTGACTAATAAGGCCTTAAAAATGCATTGAATTTTAATGTGATAATTCGGAGGGGATTTGATGTTATCAAAAAAAGATGGCGTATGAACCAGAAGTAAATCTGTCACCGAGAAAAACACGCTGCTCGGTTCCGTTTAGGCGATCTGCACTTTAAACATTGTAACTCGCTTGTTTCAACTTTTAATCTTTTAGCTGTATGAATTGTTTTGATCTTTGTACTTTTTTCCAATCCCCATAACCTTCCAAATAGAAGATTAAACCTGGTTTAGAAGACGAACGAGACGGTTTTGTAAGTGCCAATCCTTTTTAAAAATTGAATGTTTGACGTCCACTGCCATAATGACTGGTTATATTGTCTCTTTAAGTCTTCTTTGCGTTCACCAATTTTTCTAATGTTCTATCATAATTGATTTATTGAACCTTTTTAAAATAGGCGGAAAAATTTAGTGGAAAGTTCTCAAAAATGATTTCCCAAAGCACGTTAAAGAAAAAAATTGAACGGTGTTCAATTACATGAAAAAAAAATGATTAACATCAAACCCATTTTGTTTTCTAAACATCTCTACAAAAGTGTTCATAATTTACATTTTTCTTATGTTTCAGAGAAGAATACCAGAAGTTTGTATTGCATCAGTTCGACAGTGGATCTTACGACAACCGAACTAGACCAGGATTCAGTGAGGGTAATTACGATTACAATGGAGAATTATTGCGCCCGTAGCACCAAATAACAAATAGCCGAAAAGTTTGCAAGCAATCAACGTCTTTTGGATTGTCGATAACGGACTATAAATCAAGCTTGAGATTTAAAGAATGTTTAAATTCTGTATAACCAACTTAATTGTTGAGCAATCGGTCTCTTGAGATTAGGGGTCTACACTGTAAGATATAAGAAAAAACTCTTTTCAGATTATGGCCTTGAACCATGTCGCCCTATTTCACAAAACGTAATTTCTCCGTAAACATACATGTTTGTTAATCAAGGCGAACAATAGTTATTCACGACAACATAAAAAGTTCTTTTAAAGAAATATTTTAATTCACGATCTGTATACCAGTATTTATGTCGCCAGAGGCATTGATATGGGAAAAAAGGAGGAAGTGGAGCTAGCACTCAAATTAGTCTATAATTTTGGATTGTTCTCAGGTAAGCCTGACTTGGTGAGAGTGCGTCTCTACATCGAGTCACTGGGCCCAGCTTCAGAATCAGAAATGGTAAGAGCATTTTTCCATTTATATTGGGTGAATCAAAACCAGAGTAAAAACTTTTTGAAGAAAATCATGCTGCCCATAGAATTCTAAGCAACAAGAGGGTAACTGTCGCTATGCAAAATAGGTGTAGAGATCATCGCGACCAATTTTAGGCCTTAGGCGAAAGATTTCTGTCACAATTTTGAGCAACCAAAAGACTTCTGTGAAACCTTGAACGAGCCAAAAAAACTACGAGGCAACTTTAACATACCAAAACTGGCGCCCAACTCTTTGCTACCAAGAAATTTAAAAATTATATCAGATCGTATGATTTAGCGTGGTTTTTATCTTTTGACATAGGGGTACAATTTACACAGATGATGTTTATTTAAAGTTTTGGTAAGGTCCATGAATGTCGGGCCGTCGGTCTTTCTTCAAATCACTGTTCTTTCTACGCCTGATACGCCTGAAATAACAAATGCAGTTTGCATTACATCTCTATATCATACTGTTGATCTTCTAAATTACCAGTTTACCTTCTAAACATTCCACTTTGTTTTCTACTTCAACACTTTGACCTTGCTTACAACGGGAAATATGCATCAAAAACTTAATGCCTTTTTTTGACGATTTTCGCTTGAGAATAGTTCTTTTGCTTCAATTTAAAGATGAAAAATCCATTTTTTTTCTATGCGGGCCCTATTTCAGCTATATCACTAGTTTGGCGCAATTTTGGACGATTTTATGTTCGAGTTTTGTGCATTTTTAACCCTGGTGTTAGAACCAGAATTGTTAGTCAAGAGATAACAAAATGCGCGATCCTTGCTATCGTAATATGTCGCATGCCCACTGTGGCATTATTCAAGTTTCAGCTCATTTATCCGGGTTGACCTCCAAAAAAGAAAACGGCTATTCATAAAAACTCATGAATCGAGTCTCTGAAAAAACCCTGGTCATACATTTTCGTATATTGAAATTGGTATGGCTAGCATTTTTTTCTACGAAAGCTACAAAACTAATTATGGGGTTGTTGATAGCTGATACACAACATGTGATAGTAATTGAATTAATTTTGCAGACTACAGACTCCAGATACATCGATGAAATTTTTTTCCTAGAAAATATGCTAGTCATACAACTTCATACTTCGAGAATTATATCTCAATACAAAAACTATCTCTCAAAATTGGAGAAAAAAAAAGTTTTTCTAAGTCACAAAATGATTTCTATTCACAAACAAGCCTTTTTCGAATTTCAATTCTCCGCATACAAAATTGTAATTTTTGGTCTATAAAATTGTCCAGACATAGTCTTTCCACACAATTAATCCAAATTTAAGTCATTTTAAGTTCTAATTGATAGCTAAAATTTTTTTAATCAGCTTAAATGTTGATAACTTTTTTAATATCTCTTCATTTAAGAAAAATTAGTTTATCTCGACAGTATAATTTTCTAAAAATATATATGCACACATATATTTTATATATATATATATATATATATATATATATATATATATATATAAATATATTTATATACAGACGCGGATCTACAAATTTCTCGAGTGGGGGGGGGGCAGATTTTAAGAAAAAAATTGAATTTTTTGTTTGTTTTGTAGACCTTTTTTTTAGGTCCACCAAATTGATTTTCTGAGGTCTTCCAAATCACTATAAAAACTTTGATAAAAAAATTGCGTTTTTGGCGCGCTCTCCCCCTCAAAATTAGTTTATTTTGGCGCCAAAGGCGCTTTTAGACAATTTTTAGGGTCCATCACCAAAAACGGATATCTCAAAAAAGTACATAGGGGGAATTCCCCTGATAACTTCCTGGATCCGCGCCTGGTTACAACTTTACCAATTTTTGAAAAAATCTCAATTAGCTCTTCAAAATGCATCGTATGCTGGAAGCTTTTTTTTGAAATTACTGATCCATATTGTGCCAAATAGATCGACTCGCTTAAGAAAAACTAAAAATTGCTTTTTTTGTTTTCAAAACTATCGGTATGTTTTGTAAGCAAAAAGACAAATCAATGCTTATAAACCCATCCCGCTTAGAAAAAATCCAGTTTGATTCAGGCATTTTACTCAATTTTTTTCCATTTTTCCGAAAGAGGACACACAATATTCGTATTTTCGATGTTTTTTTTCTTCAGAAATACTTTCAAACAAGTTTTTAACTAGAATTTTATGCAAATTGTTTGAGCCAAATCACAATGAGTGACAACTTTGAAAACTGTTAGAGTAGTGCATATTTTAAACTTGAAATAAATAATGCAAAAAATGGCGATTGTTCCGACTTTTGTAACGAAAGTAACGGAATATTTGTGCTCGGGGTGGGTTTTTTTTCTTCAGACGAATTTCGACTTTTTAACTAGCCAATTTTGACGGAAATGTTTTTTTCATTTCATTCCAAAGCTATTGTTGTCCTGAGCTTAAATTTGAAAAAATATTTCACCAATGACTATTTTTTGTAAAGCTATGGTGGTTTCAAGATTGCTATTTTTTGCCAATTTTGGACAATTAACGCGCACTATATTTCGCGATATTAACGCGTAAGCGGAGATTTAAACCGTCTTAGAAATCGTCCCAAATTGGCTCAAAGAATTTTATTTGCCATATTTAATTTTTTACAGGAGCGAAATCTATCCTTTTGTACTTTATATGGCGTGTGGGGAGATGATTTTCATAAAAAATTTCAAATTTTAGAAAAAAAAATTTTCATTTTATTTTTTTTACATTTAATTTTTTTGTTATTACTGCTACATAAACCTCAAGAGGCAGTCGGAACATTCAAGGTTTCGCCCTGATACAAGCAGTTTTGTTTTCAATTTGTCCACAACTTTAAATATTTTTTATTAAAGTAATAATTGAATCAGATTTCAACTAGAAAACTATAATTATAACTTTAAAAACTGAATCCAAATTTGTAATTTTTAAAATCTGAACCAATTTTCTTAACTTTTCAGGGTTTAACTCATCAGCTTTGAGAAAAGGCAATTAATTTATCCAAGTTTAACGGATGATCAAAGTGGAATTTTAATTTTTCCGACTTTCGATACGAAAGTAACGGTATATTTGTGCTCGGGGTGGGTTTTTTTTCTTCAGACAAATTTCGACTTTTTAATTAACCAATTTTGACAATAATTTTTTAAATCATTCAAAAAGTATTGTTGTCCTGAGATTAAATTTCAAAAAATTTCATCTGTGATTATTTTTCGTAAAGTTATGGGGTTTAAAGACTGCAAATTTAAACAATTAACGATCTATTAACGCAAAAGTAGTCCGTCTTAGGAGAGAGATTTAGTCCGTATTAGGAATCGTTCGAAATTCATTCGAGAAAGCCTATTTAACATAAATCATTTGTTGATATGAGCAAAATCTATCATTTAGTACTTTGTATGGCGTGTTGGGGGAAAATTTGCACAAAAAATCTCAAATTTTTTCAAAAAATTTTAATTTTTTTTAATTATTTTTAATTTTTCCATGTTATTGCTGCTTCATTGACTTTAAAAGGCAGTCGGAACTTTCAGGGCTTTGCCCTGATACCAGCAGTCTGGTTTCTTTTTCAGTCAATTGTACATGGTGCTAGAATATTTTTTGGAAATACATTGTTCTGGCAGATGAAACGTTAATCAAAAACAATTTGGCTTCCAAATAAATTATAAAAACTGTTCGATGTGAAACAAAGAACGATCCAGTTTTTGAACTTGAAAGTTCAATGATATATTACTTTAGGTGGCAGATTTAATATCAGTAATTTTGTTGTTTGAACCTGAAATGGCGAAAGAGTCACAATTTTTGCGAAATAATTAATTCCTGTTGTATCTCAAATTAAGTCTTTAAAATAGGTTCCGAGGAATTGGGAGTGTCAAATTAGCGAAGGCAAAGAAATACACGACTGCTCATATCAGGGCAAAGCCCTGAATGTTCCAGCTTCCTTTAAAGGTTTATGGAGCAGTAGTAACTTGAAAAAATTAAGTGTAATAAAAAAAACCAAAATTTTTTTCTAAAATATATATTTTTTAATTGAAATCGTCTCCCCACACGCGATATAAAGTACGAAAGAATAGATTTTGCTCATTGTAACGAATCATTTAGGGCAAATAAGCTCCTTTCAACCAATTTGAAACGATTTCTAAGACGAATTCTATCTCCGCTTACGCGTTAATAGCGCGAAATGAATCGCGCGTCAATTGTCCCAAATTGGCCAAAATGGCAATATTTAAACCCCCATAATTTTATGAAAAATGATCACAGGTAAAATATCGTTTCAAATTTAAGCTGAGGACAACAATACCCTTTGAATGATATTTATAAAATTAAGTAAAAAATGGCTAGTTAAGAAGTCAAAATTTGTCTGAAGAAAAAAAACCCACTCCGAGCACAACTATTCCGTTACTTTCGTATCGAAAGTCGGAACAAAAAGTGATGAAAAACTTGAAAAAAAATTAAAAAAAACAAAAATTTTTCCTTCTAAATTCATCGCTGCCAAAAAGTATTCAGAAAAATCATTTTTTTTGTTTTGATCAGGTTTTTTGAACCAGATTGAAGCCAGGCGATAAATTTTGTTTCCTAAAAAAATGTCAAATAAAGAATTTTGAAATAATTTTAGTCACATTAATATCTCATTTGAATCTAAAAAATGAAAAGATTACAAGCTAAAGTCTAGGATTATCTCGGATATTTTTTTGTTGAGTTTTTTTTTCGTTTTTTTTTTCAGCGCGCTGCAAAACTTAGTATATATAAGCGCACAAGACATCTTTAGAAAAAAGTTTTATGATCGGTTGTTTAAATACCGATGTCCTTTAAGCGTCAAGTGGTCGAACTTCTTAGGGAAAAGAAGGTTTCCTCCCACCTATTGCCCTAAATCCGCTTCTGACCTCGGCATCAAAATCCAAACTTCTCGGTGACAGCGATATTTTGCTGATAATGATCTTCATTGATTGAAAGATGGAACTATTTAGATGCTTTTGTTCATTTTCTTGTCTTCCTACAGATCTGTTGAGAGCAATCAATATTGATACTTAATGTCGAAAAAATTTTATTGTTAAAACTGTCTGTAAAAGAAGTACGAACAATTCAAATTTAATTGGAAAATAGTCTATCGTAAAATATTGTTCCTGGTTGATTAATTGGTCTTTGAGTAGCTTAAAATTAGCTCTTGGGTTATATATTAAAATCAAGCTGGGGTTTTCGGGAACTTTTCAAGAAAAAATTAATTTTTTGAATTGACTTCTCAAATTAATTGCTCTTTCCAGTCTACATCGTCAACTTTAAAGTCTTGGCTTATTCTTGATAATTTGACTTGTGAAACCAATCTCGAATAAAAACGAACTGAATTGGTCTTCAAAGCATATTTATGCTATCGTACTCAACTCCAAAATGGCTCAATAAAGAGTTTTAAAGTCTGCTGAACTGCCCGGAGTTTAAAGAATGAACTTCACTCTAATTAAGAACTCACTCAGCCCAGTAATTGCAACCCAACTTCAAATTTGGTCACTTTAGCTCTGAACTCTCGAATGAAAATAAGATATTAAATAAAACTTTTTTAATGCTGAAGAGTTTTAGGTTTTTTCAGTATTCTTTAGAAAGCATGAAATTTGCAAAACTCTCTTGAACGCTCAGCATTAAACATTGGATCACTGACAATTGAAAGTTTCGGCAAATGAATTCAAAGTTTTTTTCTGATAACAGTCGTGATGCGATTATCGAAAAGCCCTGCGCTGCAAAATACTGTCAAGAGCACTTTTTTACCTTTTAACCTTAAAATTTTTCGCTTTCACTTTCAATGACAAAAGATAAATGATAATACAAAGTCGTCTTGAAAAAAGACACGTTATGAGAAGAAGCTCACTTTTTATGTTCTGTTTCTGTCGGACTTAAATACCCCGCTTAGTCGAGGCCGCTTTATATTACAATAGAACTGGAAAAAAAACGGCTTAAGACTTATTGAAGATTCAGTTTTGCTTGCAAAAAAAAATAATTTAATTGCCCTCAAATTGGAAGCATATTGGTTTCTAGTGTCATGTTATGAGTCGATTGCACTTGTTCTTAGTTTGACAAAACCACAAATATATCGGTCAGATAGTTTCAAAAACAAGGACAAAAATAACAACAAATATATGAGAAATAATGTGGTTCAAAATCGGTCACCACTTTGGCTGTTTGTTTTTACAGTAGTTGGACTGAGCTTCTTTTTTGAGCCCTGTTTAGAATCGAGTAGGTCCATTTGAATCGATTGATAATTTCCTTTTTTGAGCATACTCGGTCCCCGTTTTGACAGAACAGATGTAAAGCAGAGGGTGAACCAACAGAGCATGGAATTGAAGTCTCGAAAAATATTTCCTCTTATGTAATAGACAGGATGAGTGTGACCAATTTTACTCACAATTTTAAGTGCTAAGTTATACAAGACTATGCTCGTATCAGGTTGAAGCCCTAAATGCTCTGACTGCACCCTAAAATCTACGAATTATTTTCAATACATCTTAAAAATACCGCTCAGAATGTGAACATTTTAAAAATGATATTAAAAACTGTTCAGAAGTTGCTTTTTAAAAGTCCAAGTTTGTCTAAAGATAACGAAAACACAAAACCGAGCACAAATTTTCCATCTTTTACTCAAATGTCCTGGCAATAATTGATGCGTAATAAGCATTTTTATAGTTACTGGCTTTTTTAATTCAAAATATTTTTGAAATCAATAAGCTTTCTAAATTTGGAAAATTTCATACACGCTATAACATAGTATCATCTCCTCACGGATCGTTTGAAAGAAATAAAGAGAAAGAATTTGTGTCTCATTGTTAATGGTAAATATGCATATAACGAGAATTTAAACATGAAGCACCAGAAATAGCGAGGAGACAGTTAACGAACCCCAGAGCACTGCCCGTTTTATCAAATGAAATACGAAATTTGAGATCTTCAAAGAACAGGAAAAAATATATATCTAAAAACATAAAACTAAACATTGTTTCGCGGCGAATTTCCCCCTGGTACTGTGTTATAGCGGGGCGTTTCAGACTCAGTACCATGCACAACCCCAAAAGGATTGTTTTTGTGGCCCAAACTTTTTTTATTATAGTTTGCTGGAAAAGTTTGAATTGAAAAATTACGATAGACAAAAAGGCGTCCCATTCAATACAGAATTATATATGACATTACAAGTTCAATTTATTTGTCGGTGATCTAATTTGCCGGTTTTCTAGTCAGAAAAGTTTCTGTTTTGGCTCTCTAGTAATTCTAGAATTCTAGATCTCATGAGAACCAGTTCTTATCTTCCGCTGCTATTTCTTTGTTCATTCATTATTCTATCTCATCTATCATCGTGCGCGATATCTCGTTTATTTTGTTTGGTCATCATCTTTCGATTGGATTATTTTATACACGTGGCACACTAATCCTGAACAATACTTTCTTATCATAAGCGCCAAGTTCAAATTAATTGTCTAAAGTTTATTTTTAGTTTGCATATAAAAATCAAACAAGACTGATTGTATCAAGGCAAAGCCCTGAACGATCCGACTGCCCTGAAAAATCATAATAAAATTAAAATAAAAAAAATGAGATTTTTTTTGTGAAGGCATTCCCCCACATGCCATATTGAGTACAAAGTGATAAATTTTGCCTGTATGAACAAATCAAATATGACATATAAGCTTCCTTGAATCAATTTGAAATGATTTTTAATAGCAATTAAATCTAGCTTACGCGTTAATAGCGCGAAATATATCGCGCGTTAATTGTCCCAACTTGGCCAAAATGGCCATCTTCAAACCCCCATAATTTTACGAAACATGAACACAGGTGAAATATCTTTTCAAATTTAAGCTCAGGACAACATTAGCTTTCGATTGATAAAAAAAATCCGTCAAAAATGGCTAGTTAAAAAGTCAAAATTTGTCTGAAGAAAAAAACCCCGAGCACAAATACTCCGATACTTTCGTTACGAAAGTCGGAACAATAAGAAAGCACCTACCTATTTTGACAACACTAACCGTATGCTCTTAGCTTATTACTTCGATGACCTGATTGAGTAACCCTACAAGTTTGCTCTAATAATACCTTTTGTATCAGGACATATTCCTGAATGTTTGGCGTTCGCGTCAATCTTTTCGAACTTTTTTGTTGCACATAAAAACTAAAACTTTCAAAAAAAAGTTTGTGCAAAGAAATAAGTTTTAAAAACCACATTTTGGTCATAACTAACGTATCATCTCTTCTAGATCATACAACTTTTCCAATAAGATGATATGATTATTGAAATCAGCGCAATTCATTCAAAGGAAAGTTGTTTTCTCATTTTTATCCTAGAGCAATGCCAAATGCTTATTGATATGTTTCGCGACTAGCGATTTATTGTATGAACTAAAGAAATTCTCCAGTTTAATCTCCAGAAGTGTGAAGACCAGGGGCGGATTTTTATTTGCGGACATCTCCCCCTCAGGGATTCGAACCCCTGCCAACCCAAAGGGTCCCCCCTTTGGTACTTTTTAAGAAATCCAATTTTTGCCGACCGACCCTAAAATTTTTCTAAAGGCGCCTTCGGCGCCAATATATACTAGTTTTGAGGGGGAGCGCGCGCCAAAAAACGCGTTTTTTTTTGTCAAAATTTTCCAAAAAGTGCCCAAAAACGGCTTTTTTGACCTATTTTTTCAAAAAATTGCCTGCGGCGCAGAAAATTTGGCCAAAACAGGGTCTTTTTACTGCTTTGGGAGAGCTCGGAAAATCAATCTGATCGACCTAAAAAAAAAAAGGTCGTCAAAATTTTCGAAAATTTTTTGAAAATCCGCCCCCCCCCCTCGAGAAAATCCTAGATCCGCCCCTGGTGAAGACCATATTAACTTACCGCACACTCAATTACAGAAAATTGGAGATATAACGCAAATGGGTTAGCCCAAATCTGCCAATTTTTCTTTTTTGAACCTGAACTCAATTTTGATTGCAGGTGAAATAAAGTTTTCGAGGTCGAATAAATTGTACAAACTGCCAGTGAAACTGTTGTTGCGATCCTTTGTTCTAAGTTTTATTCTAAATGGACAGAAAACTTTGAAAAAAAATCAACAAATAAAAAAATCATTAAAAAAATATAGTCGAAGTGTTCTGTGCTTTTTGCAGAGCAACAGTCTACTCTTGTTTAAAATCTTTTTCAGAGTTTCTTCCAAGACATCTACATGACTCAGATCTGGGCGGACCACAGACTGAATGGGACTGAGAAGATGAACTACACCAGTGGCATCAGTAGTCCCTTCGCCCCCGGGATAGTCCACAGTCTCTGGACTCCAGATACTTACTTCAGGTACTTAGGTCCTCAAAGTCCAAAAGACTAGCAAAATATTCGCAGTGAGGGGCCGGCAATGTGTTCTATTGAGACACTCATTATAAGCAAAATTAAGCTATTTTTTGAAAGTCGCCCCTCGCGAAAACACTTTTTCTGGCTAACTAATTGATTTCATCTGACTTATCTGACTAGTTTTTGACTAGCTTTTGAGATCAATTTTTGTTTCATTTTGTATCCAAATTTCTGTGCAAAGAGAATTTTTAAAATTTGCTGTACAGTTGTCAGTTACAAAAACCATGAGCAGAGCGGATCTAAAATTTTCTCGAGGGCGGTTGATCTTTTTAGCCAAATCGATTTCCCGTGCTCTCCCAAAGTACACTAATGACCCAATTTATAGCTCCACCGTCAAATTTTGAAGAAAAAAAAACAGATCAAAAATGCCGTCATGGGCTTTTTTCGAAGTCTTCAGCCAAACCAACACCATCCCCACTCCAACCCACCCGGTTTGACCTCCAAACACCGAAAATGCTTATCAAACAATTCCAAATGTCAAATCTATGGAAAAATGCTTGTCATTTAATTTTCGTACAATTTCGAAAAATTGTTGAAAAAAATTATAAACTAGTATCTGCGGCTGTTTGATTGTAATAAAACAGTCTGGTGATGAAATAAACCCATGTTTTCGTTTTTTGAAAAAAAAATGCTTATCATACAATTCCCACATATGGAAATTACTAGCATTTTTTGATGGCGACACAAAAATTTTTTCAACGGCAAATCGAATTTGCACTTGAACTATCACTATCCAATAAAACATTTATGCATGTAAAATTTAATTTTTTTGTGCATAATGTAGTCCTGGATACTCTAATGCTAGGTTTTTTTCCTTTTCGCTTGATAATTTTTTCAAAAATGCTGAAAACTCCTATTTCTTTTGTATAACATGTTTATGTATGTCTTGATCAATGTATGATAAATTTGAAATTCAAATTTTAAATATAATCATCGTACAAAAATTTTGCCAAAGTTTGAATGATGGCTACTTTCATTATATCATTTGTGAAAGACAGCTCGTTTCAAGACACTTCAGGTCGTTGCTATGCATTGCAAATGCAATACCGTCCAACTTTTTTTCATAGAGTTAACTAAGGTCTCTGTCAGTTGCGTTCAGTTGAGACCACAACCCAAAAATCTTCAGAAATTAAATTTAGAAAAAAATCAAGGTTTGGTTTATGCAAAAATATTTATCATACAATTTTCATAAATGGAAAAAATCAATTATTTTTGAAGATCAATTATCCACGAGGGAAATGACTAACATACGAGCTGTACAGCTCATCAAGGCGAACCGCTGTTGTGCCCCTGCTTATCATAGAGACTTCTAGAAAAATGCTTATCATAGAGATTTCATACAATTTTCTATACGTCTGGAATTGTATACAACTGTAAACGGCAAGAAGTTTTTTTAATATAAATTGTATGATAAGAAGTTTTGGTCAACCCGGGCACCCTAAATTCGCCCCTGCCATAGATGTAACGCAAAACACAAAATTGTAAAAACTGTAAAGCTAGCAGGCAACTATTTTTTCCCTTGGCTTGAAAGAATTGAGAACACAAAGGTCAATCGATTTTTTTCAGGACTTTTATGTTTTCGAAAAAGCCTGCGTTTGTTTGAAGGAAACCAATCGATTTTTCTCACCTGATGATTGAATTCAAAGTAGACCATGAGTTCAAAAGTGGATGCATGAGTTCAAAGATTTGTTAGCATTACCCCAGCCCTCTATTAAGAAAGCGAGAAGCTCGCTAAAAGGTACAAAACTCAAAAGTGATGCTACATTTTGAATAACTAAACGAGGCGATTATTTATTCAAGCGATTCAGGAGTTATTTTGATTATGAATAATTAAACGAGGCCAATATTTATTAAAGCGATTTAGGAGTTATTTTGATTGAAGTTTCCTTCCAAGACTGCTGAAGTGCTGAAGTATTGACAAAATTTTCCCAAATGCAACTTAAACAAAATTGATTTTCACTTTCTTCTTTTTTCTTTGCTGAAGGGGTATTCGGGCAGCTTTGACAACGGAAAAACCTGGAGAGAAATTTGTTCATTTTATAACTCAAAAAATCAAGCTGGATCAAAATTTACAAGCCATAAGATTAAAAGCCATGGAAGATTGAGCTAACAAAAAGAAATAATGAATAATGCTGGAAAAAGACAGCAAAAAAATTCAGCACGCAATTTTTCAGAGGATAAGTGTTAAGTTTTTATATAAAGTAATGTTTTTCATTTTGTACAATGACCTAACGGACACAGAATTTGGTTGCAACCTAAAAACTGACTCAATTAAATGCAGAATTTAGCTTTGGAAAACACACCAAAAAATTTATCAAAGAAAGTTGAAAGTAGATTAACAAAATAAAAAATATATAGACAGGAAAGGATTGAATTGATAGTAGGAATCACCATATGATTTTTCAAGAAAGAACTGCGGCATGCTTTTTGATCAAGTAGTATTTGATCGAGCAGAGGCGGATCTAGAATTTTCTCGAGGGGGAGGGGATTTTTTAGGTCGACCAAATTGATTTTTCGAGCTCTCCCATAGCACTAAAAAGTCCGTTTTGGCCAAAATTTCTGCGCCACAGGCAAAACTTTGATAAAAAAACAGGCCAAAAAAGGCTTTTTTAAGCACTTTTCGGACAATTTTGACCAAAAAATTGCATTTTTTTTTCTGCACGCGCCCCCCTCAAAAATAGTATATATTGGCGCCAAAGACGCCTTTAGAAAAATTTCAGGGTCTGTCACTAAAAATGGACATCTCAAAATAGTAAAAAGGGTTGACCCTTTGGGTCGGCAGGGGGTCCGCCTCCCCTATATCCGCCCCTGTGATCGACCATGCTAGGTGGATGATATATATATAACCTTCAGGTCGACTAAAATGATTTTATTAACTCTCCCAATTCTCTATAGTGAACATATTTTGTGCGGGAACATTGTTGAAAGTTTTAACCAAAAAATTGCGTTTTTTGGCGTGCGATCCCCCTTCAAATTTAGTACAATCATTGAAACACAGAAGCGAAGCTGGGCTTTGCACCATTTGCGATACAAGACAAAAAAAATTGAAAATGTTGAAAAAATTGGATCTATCATAATGAATTAAGCTATTTTCGAGACAAAAACATACCGAAACAATAAAATGCGAGATTAGCATCGAAAGATAATTTACTAAGCGGTAACAAAGCCAAAAATACAGTGGCAGAAGCCTTTTAAGCTGAAAGCAAATCAACAAGAGTTAAGACTTATGAAAAGTTAGTATTTCCCCTCGCCCTCAAAACACTCAAAAAAACTTTACTTGCTCGTCAAATGAATTGATATGAGACAACTAAGGCAATACATTGTAGCACAAAACCTAATAAGCACAAAAAATTGGTAAAAAATGGCCAAAAAAAAATCAAACAAATTAAGACTAACAAGAAGTTATCAAGCACCCTCGCCCTCAAAACACAAACACGCACACATAAACATTTTTCGCTGAACAAAAGACGCTATATGAAGCGGATAAGTCGATTTAATATAGACCTAAACCATTCAAGCCGTATAAAAGGTAAAACAAACAAAACGACGAAAAAAATTGTTTTCAGGAAAAACTTGATTTAGATTATTTATTAAGATTTTTAGCTATTTGAGGTGAGCATCAAAAATAGGATTCTGTTGAAACAACTCAAAATTAGTTCACAAAACCGATACAAATACGCCGAATTCATTTGGGCAGAATAAAAGTTTTAAGCAAAAAAAAATATTCAAGATTACAAAAAACAGCACAGGTAAATCAGGACGCTAAAAACAACAATAACGTGAAAAAAAACTTAATTTTAAATGAGCCATTTAGTTAGATGGTAAAAACCGAATTAAAAAACGGAGTAAAAAAAGGAACTAAGGCGGATGGTAAAAACCGGAAACTAAAAGCGAAAACAAAGCCGACAAAAAATAATCCAAAAGCGAGGAAGTCGAAAGTTCAAAAAAAATATCAAGGAAATAACATTTAAAATTTTGAACTGCGAATTTAATGGAAAAACACTAATAGGAATGCAGAGTAGGAGTAACAATATATGGACATACTGTATGCATGTGTATTTCATCCATGCTGAACTCTGTGGGCAAAGTTATTTACTGGAAAGAAGTCTAGTACCCGATTGCAATACCTTTGCTTATCTCAAGGGTAAATAGAGCTGTGGCATGCTTTTTGATCAAGTAGTATTTGATCTAGCATGCCAAGTACATGGTATATACTTTTAGATCGAACGAATCGTTTGTTTTTTGGCTCTTTCAAATCACTATAGAGAACCCATTATGACAAAATATTTTGTGCCGCAGACAAAAAATTGAAAAAACAGGCCAAAAAAAGAAAGTTTTTGAAAAGTTTTAACCCAAAACTTTCGTTTTTTTGTGGCGCGCAATCTCCCCTCAAAGTTAGAACTTTTTTTATAGGGTCAAAAATTAGAAATATTTTAGGGTCAAAAATGGATACCAGTCAAAAATTGATATCACAAAATAGTACAAAAGGGGGGGGGGGCAAATGACTTACGAAACGTTTTAGGAAGGCGGTAAAATTTAGTTCACATTGAAAATAGTGGTTTTGATGTTGTCGGCTACCCACTTGTTTTGCTAATACTGTAGGCCGCAAAAAACAGTGTTTTTTTCTTTAGGTTTAATTTTTCATATAATAAAATAACAGCAGCCAATTGGCCAAAAAGGCTTGTTTTTATATAAGCAATGTAAATTCGAGCAATTGTAAGTTGATAATTGTTACCCACGTGAATTTGGTTTTTGTCGGCTTAACTGAACAAATGTTTTCGTCGAAACTGTTTGTTATTCTCACTTATTTAAAAAATTTTTGCCGATTTGAAAGAAAATCGCAGAAATAATTGAACACAGTTTTTTAATAAATTTTTGCGTATAAGTAGGCCAATCAAATGAGTTCTAAGATTTGACGGCAGTGTTTGGTAAACACAGAATAGTCATAGAAAAAGCAACAGTTTTGGTTGATCATCAGGAGAAGTAAAAAGGGTTACTTTGATAAACTATAGAGCCTAGAGCAATTTAATTTCTAGCAGTCATGTTTCAAACTTTCCGAAAAGTTGTTTAATAAGTAAATTGTTTGAGCTGAACACTTTGTTGACATGAAGACTAGTTGAAGAAATAATTGGAAAAAGTTTTTTTTTTCATCAAAAGATATATTCCCAAAAGTTTCGTTTTGAAAAATCTAAGTACGAATATCTGAGGTCCGCATCTTGAAAAAAATGAAACGTTTTCAAATCAGGGCGAAGTTCTGAAAGTTTTAACTGCCAGTTGAAGTTGAAGATAAATTTTTAGCTCCAAAAAATTGATTAAAAAGTTCATTAATTGGGGAAACTGACAGATTTGCTTGTAACTTTTATCTATTTTTTTAAAATCTTTCTTCACATCCTGTTTAAAGTTTACAAACTGTTTTTGAGTTTCTTTTGCGTCTCGTATTGAATTATCAAAACCAAATTGATAACCGCAAGTCATTTTGCACTGGTTGTTTTGTTGCTTTCACGTCCTGTAAGAATGCAAGATATAGCAAAAAACTCTTTGAGCTCAAAGCCAACAATATACGGTGAAAAAAAATCAGAAAAATTTGGCTTAAAAGTCGAAACTTGACTGATTTTATAAGTACCAAGTATAAATATTTCTTCCCTTTCTTCAAAAATCAGAACTAAAAGACTGCTCGTATTTCAGAGCAATGTTCTGATTTTTGTATCTGCCCCATCAACATTTCGCTGAAAAAAAATCATGTAATGTTCGAACTAAAAATGGAAAAAATGACTGATTTTTTCTTTTTTGTTTTCATTTTATATTCTCTTTATAAATAAAAAGGTTGTATTGAGCGTCTTGTAATGTACTTATTCAGCCCAAATGGCTGGCTTTGTTTAGTTCGCGATGATAAAGCTAGTGAAATCATAAAACAACGTATATGGCCAAATAAGTTATGATTGTTTTGATTTTTTCGTGATGATTGTTTTGATTTTTTTAAGGAAAAATCTTGAAAATGTTTTGGATAAGTTTGCTTTTTTGCAGGTCGTTTTCCTTTAAAGTCTGACAGCGCAATTTTATAAAATTTTTAAAACCTATCAAAGGTGGCTTTTATTTTTTAAGCGCGTTACTTATTTCAAACTGGTCGAATTGGCAATTATCAAAGGATATAAGTTATACAAAATGAAATGATTTAAGATTTTTAGACCGACTAAAAAATTTGGATTTAAAAACTCCAAAAAACTGTTTTTAATTCCAATCATCTGTTCTCAAGTTCTTTAGGATTTAGTTTGCCTTGATATAAATATTAAATTTCAATTTTCTATAATTAACGGGCGACAGATTTGTTATAATAAAGCCGTTATAACAAAAAGTATTAACCATGTCACAAAATTTTTTCAGAGTGTTGAAGATGTTTATTCGTGTATCAGGTTAAAGCCCTGAGTATTCTATCTGCTCCTTAATGATGAAAAATTTGCCAAACAAAAACCGATAAAATTATCAAGGTAAAAGTAGAATTTTTTTGATTTTTGCCTTTTCTTTTTTGTTTTCAAGTAAGGGTTTTAGTTAAGGTCTCTTAACGTTTTAATAGAACTAAATTATGGTTGGTTTCAATCATCTCAATTTGGAATAACTTACTTTGCCATATACGTTGTTTTATGATTTCAATTTATTACGCAATATTGGTTCCAAAATTGCCAAATAATCATATTCAAACAAGATAAAAATTACAAAAATTAATCACGAGTGGAAAACAATTTTTTGAGTTCAAGGCAACAGTAATTTTTAAGTCGTGAAAAAATAGTTCAAAGGGGTTGATTAAAAAGTTGAAAATTGTCTAAACAAACACCAAAGTTTGAATTTTTTCGTTTGTTCTTTAAAGTCAATTTTATAAAGTATACATTTTAAAAAGTGCTAAAAAACTTGTGAAAAAGAATAAAACTGAACAAAATTTGCAGTTATTTTTTGAGTTTTACTTCTGAATTATACCAAAACTACACCCCCTCCCCCCCCCCCCCCCCACCACACACACACACACAAACACGTACATTTTAGTTTCAAAGTACAAAGTGATATGTTTTTTGTCTAGTAGTAACGTATTATATAATGCAAATTGCTCGCTTTCCTTCAATTTAGAATGAAATAATTTGCCACTTACACTTAAGTATGACAAAATATATCACACTTTAATTATCCCAGTTTCAGTTTTTGTTGTCAAAAAGGTCCAAAATTAATTACTCCCTTATAACCTAAAAAAAATGTTTGCAGGTGCAAAGTCTATGTAAGTTCGAGCTTTGGACATCAAAATTGTTCAGATTATCTACTAAATCCGCCAAAATCCTGGTAAAAACTAAAACGTGTTTGGTAGAATAAAAAGCTACCCGAGCACATATTTTCAATCACTTTCCTCGAAATACTGAACAACAACTTATAAAAGACAAATGAATCGATTTTCAAGTTTTTCATTTCAGACAAAATTTCATCCTGAATTTTTGATGCCCTGGTTAATCCGGGAGGCAACATTCCGAGACTAATTTTCCTGGATATTCCGAGAAAGAATATTGCAATAAGGGTTTCTTTAATCACAAGACTTTGAATAGCTCAAAAAAATGTGTAATGGGTGTATTGTCACATTAAATATCTCGGGATTCTGATTCCAAAGCTCAACCGTTGACATCTTGATTGCGAAAAAAATATTTATAAAAACCTGTTTTTAGGCTATAGAGAGGAAGTTCTGAAGTTGCTTCTGTTGAAAATTAGCGGGTTGAGAGTGGATATTAACATTATCCTGTCTTGAAGATTATTAAGATGATATTGCTCAAACTTAACAGGAAAAAATCAATCAAAATTAAAAGTAATTATAGACTGTGGAAATTTTCATTTAAAAAGTTTAAAAATTTTTCATGTCGAAAAATCTCCCAGCCAGTCACCTGTGCGACACTCAACTTTCTTTGTTAAGTATTAAAAATAAATAAAAAATTTATCTCGATTTTGCATCTTTAAGTTTTTAAAAATTATACCAAATCTCTTTCAGCTGAGTCAAGTAGCGTCATCATTACTTCATCGTACTTGTTGAGTATTTGAAGTGGTCTCTTCTACTTTAGGAATGGGATTCACACAGAGATTGTGCAGACCCACGAGAATCAGATCGGAATGATCGTGAAAATCAACACGGACGGGCAAATCAATGTCACCAAAAGGTCAGAATTTTAGCCACTCAGTCCAAACACATAACTTCAGTTCAAATTACCGATTAAACAAAAGGAAATGTCTCATGCCTTGATCGCCAAAAAGTCCTAATTAAAAATCCATTTTAAGTGACAAAACTCAAAACTGTATTTGAGATTTTTTTGAGCCAATAATTAAAATTGGATGCAAAATGCACTTAAAACCAGGCGCGGATCTAGGAATTTCTCGAGGGTGGGGGGGGGGGGGGGGATTTTCAAAAACAAATTTGAAAATTTTGTCGACCTTTTTTTTCTGTTTTTAAATTAATTTACTGAGCTCTCCCAAACCACTATAAAGACCCTAATTTGACAAAATTTTCTGAGCCGCAGGCAAATTTTTGAAAAAAAGGCGTTTTTAGGCACTTTTTGGAAATTTTCGACCAAAAATTTGCGTTTTTCCGGCGCGCGCCCCGAAGGTCAGCCAGTCAAAAATGGATATCTCAAAATAGTACAAAGGGGGCACTAGAAAACGTGTCTGCGATATCACGACTATAGCAAAAAGGTCCACCACTGGCCCAGCTTATGCAACCGTTGTATATTTTCTTCGCTATCATTTCAAAAATTAGAACAACATTTTTGTAAATCAATTTTTAGATGCCATCTGACATTTTTCAAAATACGAGTAAGTTTCGTAGCAATTCGTATTTCAAAATATTGGCTCCAATGAAATTTAAAGTTCTCTGTTGTCTTCTTTTCATTTTTTATGATATCGATCAATATAGATCTAACCTAATAGATTTTTAATTTAAAAGAATATTAATTTTTTGTAGAATATCCTTAATATTTATGATATCTTATTTTCAAAAACCATTAACTTTCAACTCCAAATAATGCTTCTCGGACTTTATGATATCTACAACTCTAAATGATGATGTAGAGCTTCCAAGTCCGCGAATAACTTCCTGACTCTGAAAAAAGTGCACCATTAAAAAATTTTAGATTCGACCCAGTAAATAGCTTTACCAAATTATTTGGACTATTTCAGAACCGAATTCAAAACCCAACGTAAATAATTCGCGTTGAAAACTACGAATAGGTCAAAAAATAACTCGATTAACCATTACGTCTGAACACAAATTTTGCAGGTTTTCTAATTCAATTTTTCTGATACCTCAATTTTTGATTTCACTTTTGTTTTCATAATGCTGAAGATGTATGCAGTGTTTTTTTGTTTTCTTTGTTTTATAATTAATTCGTTTTCACGAAAGGAACAGACTCGATTACTATTTACATAAATCAAAACTATAAAAAATCCCATCTTGGAAGAACACCAAAAAGGCCAGTTAGCTGTCTATAGAGTGGTGTCTTCAGGGCAGTTTTCTGCCTATCGAGTGAAGTTTTCAGAGTGGTGTCTTCACGGCATTTTTCGGGCAAAAAAAAGATACTTAATTTTGGACGTCATTATATCGAAAACGATTTAATCAAATTGGCAACTTAAGAATTACAAGTCTTACCCGCCCTCGTAATTACCCCTAGGAATACCCCTCATAATAGCTCAGGGGTATTTATTCTTCTTTTGCGAAGAACAAAAAAAGGAAAACTTTGGGTCGACCAATCTTCCTTTTCAACGCTTACCGATTTTTCTTTTTGGTCCGAAATATTACTTCCATGTCTATAACTCAGATGAATTTTTTATCTTTCATAAACTATTTTGCTTTTTAAACCTAAATTTGAGTTGCTTTTGTTGAAATACTGCAATTTAACTAATTGATTTTATGATTTTAAGAAAAAAATTCTTCTTTTCGTCACAAAGAACAAAAAACTCATATCAAGTGATCTGAAAAGCTCCAAATAAATATCAGCTTTTAATTTTATTTCAGTGTTATTACTTAGGGCGACCGAAATACGATCAGAGCATCACTTCGAATTGATCAAAAATATTCACGACAATTAAAACAGGACAAAGATATCTGTCATTAAAAACGCATCGTGGTGCCAGAAATCCTCTGAGAAAAAAAGACAAAAATCATTACAAAAAATGAGTTTCCTGGGCCAAGCACTAATTATAACAAGTATAGCCAGTTGTTGTGCAAGAAGCACAGATTGTTCCGACCATATTCAGTATAAAAAATAGAAAAAAAATTTTTTTAGAAAATTTTCTACTATTAGTGTCGTTTTTAGTGGATAGCGTGATTCGAGAACTATAAGATTGCATAGAAAATTAGTCTATTAGGCATAAGCGACAACATTGGTGTTCAAAAAAGAATCAGCAGCAAAAAAATGAAAACTTTTATGTTTTTCCACAAAAATTTCATAAAATAAGCACTAAAAGAAATGTCTTCAAATAATTTTGTTTGACGGTGAAAAAAGATCTTTTTGTCCTAGAAACAGAAAATTTCTATATAAAGAGCATTACTAGATCGCGTAACTTGCTAAATATAGACTAAAATCCAAAATCCAAAAAAATCAAACCAATTTTTGTCAACACTGGGACAATTTTTTAAAGTCGTTTAAATCTTTTGATGTCGTTCAAATCAGGAATGAAACGGCTTTGAAATGATATGTTCCTCGAGCCATTCCGATAATTATTAGTAGTACCCGATTGTGGAAAAATCTAAAATGTACCTGAATACTAAGTTACTCCCAATTTTCTTCAAACGTCGGAACAACATGGATAGCCAGTTGATGCGAAAGTGAAACAGATATTTTTCCGACAAATTCATAAAAAAACTGCACTTTTTCAAACTATTGTCTAGGAAATTTATAATTTTCTTGCAACAAAATTGTTGAATATTTTTAGATTTTGTTTCAAAAAAGCACTGGAAAAGTTTTTCAAACTAATTTATTTTTAATTAAATCAATTTTTTTTTCTAAAAATAATAACTTTTATTCAATGAAAAGTTACTGGATGAACTTATTCGCTCAAAGTTAGTCTGAAACTATAAAATTTCAAAACTTTTTTCTCGACCATGAAGCAATTGTTCGAAAATTTATTACGCTCTACGCTCGTTTGAATCACGACTGAAAGCCAACGATGATGCGTTCTATTGGTCTTCGTTTGTAGGGATCACTTTTTGCGTTCTGGTCAGTGTTTTCAGCAACACTACTAGGTTTTGACGAGTTCTGCTGTTCCGATGTTTTTGGTCACGCAGCCGGTCGCCAGTAGTTTCATTGTGATTTTTCTGGTTGACAGTCTCAAAAGTCTGAAAAACAAACAATTCAAAGTGAAGTACATTGTGACTTCGAGGGAACCCAAAAATTTCCTACACAACGAAGAAAACTTTTAGCAAAAAAACTACCATCAAAAGCGTTAAAAAACTTCAAAAAAGTTTTTTCTAAATGAATCATGCTGCCAAGAACAAAGCAGAGATGGTTTTCAAAAAAAGAAAAAAATACATGCCAAAAAAATGCAGATAAAAACCACGAAAATGGAACTGTTTTCTACAAAAAAAAAATATGCAAAACTTCACTACATAACTTTTTAAAAAGTTTTTAGCGTTTAAATATTTACAGTTTCTTACACTTCATAATCCAAGAACAATCGAGT